CGGAGCCGACACCGGCTCCGCTCAGCCCCGCGGACCCCCGGCCCTCCGCGAGTCCCGGCGCCTCCATAGAATTAGTGACATCCCTCTTGCCTCCCGCGCCGGGGCCCGAGCTCTGCCCTTACCGAAGATGTAAGATCAGCCGGAGTGAAATAACAAAGCGCGGTGGGTGATGCAGCAAACGCGCCATAGCCGCGGCACGGGAGGAAGGGATTTTTGCCTCACAGAGCTGATCTACACGTTTAGCATCTGACTTTTAGGTACAACTAATTCACCCACAGAAACTGCAGAGCGGGAGTGAATAAACTTTATTAGATCCCGGAGAAAAATAATCAGTGACAATTCCAAAAAGGCACAAAATAAAATAGAGGGAATGTTTTGAAGACACGACAGTTAAGCAAACATTTAACAAGAGTTAATTTTTTTTTTTTAAATGATGCAAGGAATACCAAATTCAATCATAAAAAAACAGTTATTTCACTTAATTCATATCCCAGGACTTAAAAAAAAAAAAACAAAACCAAACCCCAACACACACCAAAACCAGTTTGCATCAAGAGATGAAAGACATTTGTCATTTAGAAGACACTCTTAGGAATGAGAGCACTTCAGCTCAGCAGGCTGACACCTTCCTTCAATCACATCTGAGTCGCTCTTTCTAGACTTTTTGCAGCATCTTTTAGTTTTCCAACTAAATCCTAAGAGATTAAATACTGTCTTAGAATAAACATATTTTTTAACAGGTCACCCAGAGGAACGTAGTATTTTTTCATAGAGAGAGGCAAGGGAAACCAGCACCTTATACCACAAAGAAATGTTGCAACTGATAAACAATGCCAGCAAGTAATTAAACAGCTCCCTATTTTACAATGTAGTAAGAAAAGTAGGAACTGAAGGAAAACATGTTTTAACATATATTATCTACTAAAATAGATCAGTACTCTTAACACGTAGGTTTTATCAGTATCGTTACAATGGCTACCGCTGACATTTGCTCCAGGCTTGGAAGTTCTATATACATTTCTAAAATACTGAAAATATTTTGAGAGCCATTTTTACTAGGACCATTCTCCAGCCAAAGCACGTTAGATTTAACTAAGTCAGCAAACCGATTGAAAACACTCCTTAGGAAGGAAAGGACAACTTTTGAGACACACATCCAAAAAGCAGAGGTGCAAACTTGAAGTTTTAATATCTTGCTTTTCCTCTCCCCCCAACCCCTATTCCCAATCCTCCCCAGTTTGGTCACTTCCAAGCATTACAATACCTCTATTGTTCAGTTACACATTTAAATCGCTAAACAAAGATCAACATTTGTTTCAGTACATTTCTTACATGTCATTAACACCACTGAAGAGCCTTCAGTGTGTTTTCTATTTTTAATCATGACACATTTAAATCACTGAACTATCTTTTTTAATCATTTCGCTAAAGCATGGGAAATCAGTGTCTCAGGAAAAAAAAATTACAGTTATAAAACCAGTCAAAATATTTATGAACGTAGGTAAAACACTCCCCATGCAACTAAAATCAGTTACTTTGCAACTTTATTTGAGAAGACAGGAAAACTACACTCTGATAATTTTTACAGAAGATTCTCCCCTACCCTCTCAGTTCTGGATTTATTATTTTTGAAATAATAGTATATATGATTTCATTTTGATTGGCAAGTTCTTATAAACTTTTACATCCACAGCTGGAGCCAAGCACAGAAAAAATGATGAAGGAAAGAAGTACCTGTAATTGCTCCATCGTGCAACTGAAACTAACATCTGGGTGTGATCCTGAATCACCGTTCTGAAGGGGAAACAAAAAACCCAACAATGCCCATTTTATTAAAAAAAATATCGTGAAATTGCATTTTTTCCTCTGAGGGTGCTGGGAGTACAGTACCTCTACGTTTAAGGTCACCAAGTAGGAAGGCTGGTAAGTTTTATGAAGTTGATTGCTCTAAATTAAAAACAAAGAGCATAGAAAAAAAGTCAGGTCTCAGCACTGAAACAGACTAAAGAAATACCTTGATATGTTAAAATTACCTTGATCTGGTATTCCAAGCGCCAAGACACATCAGTTATATGGAGAGGAGATCTGCCTAAGCTGAAAGACACAATAGTTACAAGTTCCCTACACTAAAAGAAAATGTCATTTTCTCAAGCTGTCCATCAAGAAAGAACTTTTTCATGAGCTTCGTAATGCTTCTTAGAAAGTTCAAAAAGTTTCTTAAGAGTAGAATTCTGAAAGGAGAAAGGTATGTTTCAACAGCTGTTTTCTAAAGTTTGTTAAAAATGTACTTTAAAAAAAAAATTGAACAATATTTCTTAATTTAGTCACCTAAAGTATGTATAGGTGTTTCCCAGGACAGTTTCAAAGCAGCTGTAATTAAAACTATATATATGTGCTGACTGATTGACCTACCTGCCCAATAGGATTTCCAACGCATCCTTGTTTTTCTGGAGGGAAAAAAAAAAAAATTGCTAGATTCAAAAAATTCCTATGAGAGAAAAAAACATAAATATGTTAAAATTGGTTTAAAAACCTGATATTCGGTGCAAAATTGTTCTATTCTCTCTTTGTCCAGTTTACAGTCCTCAAGACATGTGCTACATGGAAAAAGAATTTATTAGTTTTCTGTTAACATTAACTCAGCAGTGCAGTTTAAAGTAACAACTGCTAGAGAAATGGGGTAGCTTCAGAGTGTTAGTACCTTATAGCAGATATGTCAGCTTTCTGCTTTCCTGCCTCCAGAATACACGTTGCAGCCGCAGCATGGCAATGTTTTAATACTGCAGGGTCAATATCTTTCAGGTCTGGATCGTCTAAAATAAATGAATTACTGATGACACACTTATTTGCAAAGCCCAGCACACGGTACCAAGAGCGGCTGCTCGCCCTTTGAACGGCATCTTCCCCACAAAAACTTCCAAATGAAACACATTTGGTGTTTTAGGGCGAAAGGAGGGAGTGCGTAGGCAAGGTGTGAGGAGGAGGAGGAGGAGGAGGAGGAAGAGGAGGAGGAGGGAGGAGAGAGGCTGAAGCACTGGCCGGTGCGCGCCGTACCAGGCGGGGCTGCGCGGCGATGCACGCCCCGCCGCCTCTACATCTCCTTCCCATTAAAAACAGAAGAAAAAAA